CTGCTGGGCACACCCTGCTGCTCCACAGGGACCCTGCTGGGCACACCCTGCTGCTCCACAGGGGCACTGCTGGGCACACCCTGGAGCTCCACAGGGACCCTGCTGGGCACACCCTGGAGCTCTACAGGGGCACTGCTGGGCACACCCTGCTACTCCACAGGGGCACTGCTGGGCACACCCTGCTGCTCCACAGGGGCACTGCTGGGCACACCCTGCTGCTCCACAGGGATCACTGGGTTGGGAGTGGGGCATGGAGCAGCCTGGGAACAGCCAAGGAAAAGCGCTGCACCAGCCCAGGGCACCTGCCCCTGTCCCCAGGAAGGCTCCCAGCAGCAGAACRGAGTTCAGAGCAGCTCTGAGGCAGTCAGCAGGAGTGCCCCCCGTGCAGCACAGACTGTGTCTAACAGAGGCTCTGCAGGGACGAGGACAGGCTCACCTGACTGCAGCCAAGCGCACCTTGATGCTGGACTCRGACAGGCCGTTCACGATCCGGTCCATCATGTTCTCGGTCTCAATGATCTGGGCAAAGGAACTCGGGTCAGTGCACGGCTTGCTGGGTTTGGGCTGCAGCATTTGCAATGTTATATATAAAAACTGCAGCTAAAACCAGCACGCCACACTCTCTTGCCAGATTAAGCGGAAAGTTTTGTGYATCTGCAGACAATTTAGAAACAAAAAAATCTACATTCTATGTTCCACTACTGCTTTTAATCATCAAGGAACAAGAGGGTGTCACATATGTACATACACACATTTATATATATATATGAATTACCCTTAATGTCATATTAAAACTAAAGAGAACAACTGTGAGTGCACACAGTATACACAAACTACAGATCAGAGCCAGGTTGTAGAGCTGTGTGGATAAAAAAGATCCAGTCATTCAGGACAAGGCCAGCACAAGCACTTTAGACCAGGATAAAAGGGAGTTAATACCCAAGATGAAAGATGGATTTCACATAATAAATCAACTTKGGCATAGACACACCCATTGCTTATTAAAAGGTGTGTGAAAGAAGGATTCTCATTATTAACTAAAGCAACAAAAGAGGAGCTTATCAGGTTGAATTCTGGAGATTCTGAATGGCTCCCCATTGATAAAGCCTCCTGATGTTCTCTTTTCATCCTGTGTTTTCCTGCCCTTTCCTTCTGCTTTCCCCCTTTAACCAGCAAACAAACTCAGAAAACACTCCTGTCTCCTGCAATTGCCACATGACACTGAAAATCCACGATTAATTTTAAAAAGTGCTCCTTTTAATCATTCATTTATTAAGTTCTCTCCACTTTCCACACATTAATTTTTAACTATGTGAGTGCTCCAAGCAGTCAATCTCTTTGCTGTGATGTTTGAATCACCGTTGTTATGACAGTGCAAGGCCCTTGGTCACTTGAGAAACAGGAAACAAAYTCTGACTTTGTTTCCCAATATGAGCAGACTTTCCAGTTTGGGTTTGTTTCTTTTTTTAAACATTTGTTATATAATAGGGATAGATGGGAACAGAAGTATATTCTATCTCTCAGAACACGAGTCTCAGAAATTTCTCATCTTCCTTAACAATATTCCTTATGAGTAGCCAAGCACCAAAAGTGTTGAAAGACAACTTCTTGTGCAAGTCTTGTGAAGATGTTTACATAACTAAACTTCACTTTTGTTACACTCTGATAGCTAGACATTAAATTTTGTTCCAATTCCATGCAATCTGAAAGTTTGTGATAGGAGGAGACAGAGACAGAACCTTCTCATTTTGCCCTGTTTCCATCGCAGAGGGGTAACCTGCTGGGAGGGTGGGAGTTGCTGCCTTCCAGCATCACCCAGCACTCCCCAGGCTCACCTTTTTGCGGATGTCTTCRTCGTTGGCTCCCAGCGACGCGTAGAGCTTGAAGGCAGCCTGGCGCAGCTCGTGGGCGTGCTTCAGGTCATGGTCCAGCTGGAACACAGCACAGGCACCAGGCTTAGCCCCTCAACAGCTGCACTCTCACACTCTCATTTGTTCTAAACTGCTGCTGATCCACTCTGTCTGCCTCCCTGGGGGCAGCCAGGAGCACAGGAACTGCTGCTCCCTCCCTCCATGTCCACGTTTAGAGTGAAATCAAAGGTAAGAACTCATTTCTCTACTGAATTACAGAGAAGACAACTTCATCTTCAATTTGAAGCCAAAACAAGGTTTGGACTCTATCACAATCATATTCAGGCAAAAACTATTCTTGTCTCCAAACAGAAACCTAGACGAACAAGCCAGAAGGAGTGAAAAAACTGGAAGAGAATCAAGGGAACTTTTAATCAAGAGAACCRAAGCAAAAGCAGGAGCCAAAATTGGTCTCTAAATCTCAGGTCCTCCATGTTAAGGAGGGTCAGGCTGGAGATCAGGGAAACCTATCCCCAGAGGGTGCTGGGCACTGCCCAGGCTCCCCAGGGAATGGTCCCAGCTCCGAGGCTGCTGCTGGAACAGCACTGCCAGGGATGCACAGGGTGGGACTGCTGGGGGGGCTGTGCAGGGCCAGGAGCTGGAYTGATGATCCTGTGGTCCCTTCCAGCTCAGGACAGTCTGTGATTTTACAATTCTATAGTTAATGGGAACACTAAAGACATCACAAAATAGTGGTGTTTGAGGTTGACCCTGCTTGGAACAGCAAATTTGGGCTCTCAGATGTCCTCATGTTCTCTTCAGTGAGAATAATTCTGTGACTCTGCCCTCAAAACTCTGTACCAAAGGGTTCTACAAAACAATGCAATCTTGAAAGTCTACACAAAATGTCAGGAAAATGCCAGTATAAAGAAGCAGAGTGCTGAAATGAAAGAAATGTCAAAAATTAAGCTCTATGAGTAATTCTCTCCAGTGCAGCTATAGTAGAGCAGAAGTATTATATAAGTGTTATAAATATTTTAAACARACAAGTTCTCTGTTTGGCAGATTCCTCGCTCACTCCTCTCGTAGTTTTACCTTACAGGGTGCAATTCCAAGCACTYTGTCCAAAGTCAGCACCCTGGATTCCCAGCTGGCTGCTGCTGCAGACTTTCTGCACACTCAGAATACTGTCATAATATTTAGAATTGCCCCACTCACTTTTGGAACATGATCRTATTTTTGATGCTACAGCCAAGGTCCACTATTCCCCAAGAAGTTSCTAAACTTATTTTTGCTTAGTTTTTTATATGGTAACAGATTTTTTTAGATTTAACTTGCATTTTTACATAGCATTGATGAGGCTCTCTATGCAGAATTAACACCATTCTATAAAGGTCTGGAAAATGAAGCTATCTCTGGGGCCAGGAAAAAAGCAATGCTCTGTAATCTGCTTTTTTGGATACTTTCGAATAATCAGACTCAGTAAGCCTCCAAGGTACATCTKGTCTCTGTTTATCCAACCTCTTGCAAGTGCAGATAACTCATAATACAAAACACTGCATGACATCCACGTTTTTGTGCTTAAACACAATGGATCCATCTCAGAACTTGAGATTTTCCACAAACCTGAGCTCAGAATTGAAGCCAAATCTCTCTTTACGTGGACTATTATATCTTACGAAGCTGAAACGTACCAGTTCCTGAAAGCAAGATGTTTAAACTTAGAGGATGGGGAGCCCATATGTACACACTTTTTGTTTGGATAATGAAGTCTCCAAAAAGCAGTGACTCGCTTTGTCCTACSAAGTATGAAGTTTGTACCCTGGAGAGTACAAACAAGTCCTACTCGACCTCTGGTCATCTTCCTATCGAGGAACTCAGGGATCAAGGTTTAAACAGAATTAAAAAGCCCCATGCTGAGCCCATTTCTTTGGATTTTGCCCGTTTGCCCAAGGGAACGCACTCTCTTGATGTCGGTGATGGCGCTGACGGAGCTGGGGTATTTGAAGTAGTCGGCGAGCATGACGATGAGGTGGTCGCTGATGCTGGCCATCCTCTGCAGCTCCACGTCYGTCTCGATCAGGTAGGCCAAGGTCTCTGCACCCTCCACCCGCTCCTCCAGCAGCCTGTCCTTACTGCACATCCGCACCAAGCACGGCAGAGTCTGCAAATGTTAACAAACASGAGCTCTCAGTGCAGCTACATTGATAAAGGAACTCCAAAGAAATGTAACAACTACCCACAGCATTGTTCTTCAGGATGAGAACTTTCACACATTTCACTGGGTTCTCTGCACACATAGAGGAATTGTTCAGACATTGCTAAGTGTACAACAGGCTACTTTCAARCAACTTCTCACACAGACAAAACGATGCAATGTTTTGAAGTGACTATGGACAAAGTCTGCAAAATTCTTTAAAACAATAATCCCCTCCAAAGTTGATATTTGCACAGGCTTGCTCTTAGTACACACAAGAACCAGAAGTACCCAAGCTGCCTCAGGAAGTACTCGACCCCTGCTGCTTTTGTGTGATCCAGAATTAACTAAGGACAATGCAGTCAGAAATAATCTCAGGACTCCTTTCCCACAGAAAGGCTGCCTGCAGCAGGAGGCAAGGCAGCAGTGCTCCCAGTAGCATACCTGATCAACGAGAAAAAGAGCCCACCTGGAACTCACATCCATTCTGCCTTCCCTGACTTCCCCCTACTTTGGTTACACCTCCGTGACAACAGTTGTCACACCTTCTCTACTGAAACATAAAAACCCATCAAGACTTTCTTTACCTGAAGTTCAGTGAAAAGTCCTTAATTCTGGAAAGGCCAATTCTCCACRGGCTGGGACTCTGCTCATTCAAGCCTCCCCAAATATGAAAATGAATCAGGAAAAACATCCAAAGTTTGTGCTTGTGCAACTGCAGCAACTTCAACAGAATTACTCTAGTAAATGCTGCTCAGAGTTATGTTTTGGGGACCTGAAATAATATCTACCCTTTGTTCAAATGATTAAAGAGATAAATATCTTATCTCCATTGCACAGAAGCAGGACTTGCCCACATATTTCAAAAAGCTGATGCCACCTCAAGGATTACTGCTGAGGTTGTGAATTTGCAGCTACTCCAATCCAACGAGCAAAAGCAGCCCCTTCTGCACACCTGGCACTTGAGGCAGCAGGAAGATTGAACATAAGCTCTCAAAAAATTACATTCATGTTGAGTGAGAAAGAAAAGAAGTGGAATTCCATGTCTAAATTATAAAGACAATGGACTTCCTAATTCTTTCCAAGGTCAAATGGCCTGAAATGAGCCATTTCTTGGAATTCAAGGGCTGGGCATTGTTAAGTCACTGGCTGCATGCACCCAAGAAACACAGATCTCATGTTTTTCAACACTTAGCAATTCCATCTGTTTAAAATTAAATGAAAGCAAGAATTCTGACAGRCACATTTTAACTGCTCCACTGGACCTACAGCTCAGTGCAGTGCAATTAATCCAAAGGAGGAGGGGGCCGTGTAGGGGTGTAAGATGGAAAGCCACAAAGCACACCTGACCAGCAGAAAGACGTCTGGAAATGGACTGTAAAAATGGAATATCTAATTTCCATGGTATGGCTGGGATGTGTCTGGGTTATCTGGACAGCTCATTATTGGGATTCCAGAGAAATCATTTCTCTTCCATCAAATACATTATTTATCGGTCTCCTCTCCCTTTCCCAATGGATTTTATTTTTTCCCATGTTAGAGGCCAATCCACTATTCAAACTAAGCAATGAAAGTAAATTACAACCATTTTGGAAACACACATGCCTGACTGGTCCCCAAATGCAGAAATTTCATAGCAAAGGGTGAATAATTTCTGAAAGCTAAAGGGGCCATCACTTTAGTTTAGTTCAGCAGAGTCCAAAGRATTTATGTCTGGATTAATCATAGGGACACCGTGTTATCCTGCAAATGTGAGCTCTTGGAGGAGGAAGGAGGAATCACTGGGGTGCTTTGAACAAGGCAAAGCTTCTGTGCCTTTCTTCTCACTCTTTCATCTACTCTCAAGTACTACAGCACAGTTAATTCCACAGCCTGAAACATGGATTTGTGCTGAAGCAGCTTCCATGAGGGGAAAAGTGCTGCTGGTTGCTGTGAGCTGGCCCAGGCAAATCCCTTCCCAAAGGTTTCAAAGGATGAGGGTTTTCCCAGAGCCCACATGGCCCAGCACAGGCAGCTCCACAGGGCAGTGTCCAGCCCCCAGMAATGATCTGCCTCTGCCAACAGGCCTTGCCCCCTAGCCCAGGGCTGAACAGTTCTGGAACACACAGGTCCTGACCAAGATATGGCTCAGGGTGCAGCACAGCATGGGGGATTTATCATGGGAAGACATTTTCCAAAGAAGAAAGAGGTTTGTGAAAGAGATCAGCTGGGAGAATGGAACTGTAGCCCYCAGTTTCCAGGTGTTGTAAGAAGAAAGGAGAGCAGAGAGCTGGAGTGTCAATTTGGAAYAAAGCTAAGGAGGAGGGAGAAGGATGCAGCTCAGCTTCCTCAGCTGTGTAGCACCAGGTGCCTATGCAGAGCAGATGCCAATATCCACACTGGAATGAACTGTACATTGCACTTTCTTGCACAAAAAAACAGGAGGGTCGGCCTTGGTCCCAGCCAACACATAGATTTTTCATCTGTCATTACTTGGAAACAAAGAGAAATCAGGGAACTATGTTTTTAAATTAAAGAAAAAAATTAAGMGAATTTGGTGCTTTGAATTTGAAATCTTTGGTGTAACAGATTTTGTGCTACTTTTTATATGAGAAAATAAAACCAGGATAGACCAACATGGGAAAAGCTTTTGAACAGAGAAGTGTTTAAGCAGCTGTCATGGTTAGCACAAGAAGAATTCTTTAATATTTACAAGGTGGTTAAAACAGGATCCAGCTCACCTTCAGAACGATGCAGGGATCATCYGTTCGTATTGCTCCAGCTCTGCACATGGAAGTAAGGCTGAAACAAGAAGACACAGTCACCTACCACAGCTTCCAGGCATTTCAGCTGCTGCAGGGCAACTCCTGCCCTAAGGAAACCACCCTTCCTGGGCTGGACTGCAGGGCATCCAACATGCTGACCAGGCTGGGGCACTGCAACTCCCCTGGGTGCACCCTGGGGCAGGGCTGCAGTGCAGGAACTCCTGCTGGAGCACTGAACAACACACACAGCACACATTGCCTACAAAGGGTCACACCACCCAAAGGGTCACCCCACCCTGACTGAGCCATGAACCCAAAAGGAGCGACCTGCACTAAGGTAAAGGTGCAATCTACCCCCATCTGCCTTTCAGCACCTGCCTCTGGGGTGTGCAGCCATTAGGAGACCCAGCACAGGGCTGGCAGTCTGAGGGCTCAGGCACAGCCAGCCAGTCCCTGCCCCAGCCCAGGAGAGSTGGAATTGCTGTGCTGCCTGTGCACAGGCAGGGTTTTACACTCTGCAGAAACCAGCACAGCCTTGCTAACAGTGAACCCAGCTAAGCTCTGACACTGCACCAAGCAGCATTTGCTCCTCATTAGACAACAGCTCACAATAGATCTGAGAACCCCAAGGTCTCACTGACACACAACTTCAAATGCTGAGTTCTTTGTTAATGTGTCTGCAAAGTGCCTCAAGCTACCAGAAATGCAAAGTAGTTCACTCACCAAAAAAGTGTTTTACTTTGAAGTGATTTACAGTTTTTACCTGCTCTGCTACAARGCAGTGGAATGGAGCTGAAGGGGAACTGCTCTGCACCAGTATCAATTGGTTTAGCTTCTGAACTAACCGTTGGAACTGGCTTTTATCACGTCATAGTGGAGGTTAAAAAATGTAACTATTAGAACTAACATGTTTGGGCCCTGAGCTGTRCAGACTGAAGTTGTACACAGGGTTAATCAGAAGTGCTCAGCTAAGGAGCAGCAATACGCTCATATAACCATGGTGTGTTTCAAATATCCCTGAGCTCCCTCCAAGGGCCCAGAGCGAGTTCCTTCACCTCTTTGAGGCAACACTGATCCTGTCCTGAATACAGCCACAGCTAAAAATCCCACTATCAGAAGTGTTTTTATAAATTATTTCTCAAAAAGTAAGACGTACGACTAGAATGTTCGCAGAGAGATCATCTGATAAACGTTTACTGTCCAAGCCTTGAGCTGACAGCAGGGAACTCATTTTCACCCCTGCACAATCAGGAGGAAGGCACCCATCTTGCAGCTGCCATTTAGTGCAGGGAGACCCTATTTCGCAGCAAAGTAGCTTTACTTCAAACATGAAAGAAAATAATTTTTTACTTCAGGTAACTGTCCTGGTTTTGCTTGGTCCAGTTATTTGGTGATGGGGGGATGGGACCAAGAAACCACAAAGACGGCTCCTCTGACAAAGTTCTAGAAGCTTTCTCCTTCTTCTCCAGCAAAAGGAGCCCTTCCCCCTGTGTTTTAGAACCAATCCATTGTGGCTCTGAGGTTGATGGATGGGCTGCTGGTCAGGCCTGGGCCAATTGCACATGCTAGTTACACCTCTGTGATGATGTATGGTCTTGTACTTAAGAAGAATTCAAAACAAGATAGAGTGCATCCACCATATAGTTTTTAGGTTGTTCGTATCATGCACCAGGGGAGGACAGAGGAGGAGGGTGAGGAGATGTAAGGGAAAAAAAAAGGAGACCCAAGACCACAGTAAGAAGAAAACAGGTGCTGTTGCTGTTGCTGTGGTGCTCAAACATGGAGAAAACAAGCTGTTCTCAAAAGGACTGTTTCTTCAATGGGAGACCTGCATAGAAAAGAGAGGCCCTGCACTCGAGATAAGAAACCTGGCCTTGGAGGACTGGACTGATCATAACCCTAAAAGGGGGAAGAGGCTTGGCCCCCGCTCACGTCTGAAGCGAGCTGGTGCTTAGAAGAAACTGTGTTCTGCCAGGAGATTTGAGAGAGTGGCCTTGGAGAACTGTTTTCTCCCACGAGGTAAAGAAAATGTATAACTGATGGTGGCATGGGATTCTATGACTGTTTCTTGGGAAAAGAACTTCCACAGCTGGGAGCTGTAAGGACTCTTCTCCTATGGTGCTGGATGACAACTGTAATGAGTAGTTTGATCTATGTTAAACTTTCATCCCTGCCTCTTTTGTGCCTGGGAAGGCATGGAGGGGTGGGGAGGGGCGACCTGGGAGACAGCCAGGCTCCCAGAAAGAATAGCAGGTGTCTTAAAATGTCCATTTTTATTTTTTTCTCCTTGTAAATTTTTCCCTACCTTTGTTCCCCTCCCAGGTGCGGTAGTATTCCTAGTAGTTTTTAGTAATAAATCTATTTTGCAATTTAAGTTATTTACCCTGTCTGACCATTTTCTGGAGCATATATATATATATATATCTTTCTCTCAATTATGTTATCTTATCTAAAAGCCATAAATTTTAGTGTTAATTGGGCTTTTGCTCTYCCTTCTGCCTCTCTGGTGGGGGGGAGGGGGCAGGGGGGAGAAAACGTTGTGGGTGCTTTTTGGCTTTCAATCAGGTTCAAACCACAACAGTAACATAGGCTCAGCTTAGCTGGAAGCAATTCTGGTAATTTTAGCAGAAAAGGTTACTGGTCTGCTTGTAGCTGCAGAGCACTCTCCCAAGGGACTCCCTGCTCTTCCAACACTGCTGCTCAGGGGAAGGATCTTTGCTCCATTTCAATCAAGAGGTATTACCGTGAGTCCTCCAGGTCTACTTCAATTGTTGAAAAAAAAAAAAAAAAAAGGGAACTTCTTAAAGTAGTCTTGTATGCCAGTCTGGATTAAAAATGAAATTTTACAGAAGGTTTGAAGTGCAGGAAAAAGCTCTTCTAGATYTGCATTCCAAGGAGTCTAATGATAAATCAGAGGAACTGCAGATTAACTGAAGCCCACAAGGCAGGAGTGAAATCTAATTTACAAACAGAACAGAAGATCATCTGTTACAATTTCACCTACAACTCTCATTAGGAAAAAGAAAGAGATAGTCTGACTTGGAGGCAATCAGGTAAGGGAATGGRCCTATAGGACAAAAACCAGCAGGGCTTTGTAAGCACCAGGTCTGCTGTAAAACTGAGAGCCATAAGAAGGATCAGTGTCCATGGACTAAGTGAAAACCCAACTTGAAACTCAAGATACTGGTTTTGTCTGCCACTTTCCTGCAATTTTCTTTTGCTGCTTTTCACCACATCACTTTCTTTCATGCATTCAAAGGCCCCTCTGAGCCAAAGTACTGCAAAGCACCAGCAAAAGATGGGTTATGTACCCAGTTCCTTCAATCAAAGAACACCAGTAGACCTGGGAGTGTCCATCCCCAGAACAATTCTTTTAATCCCAACCTGTCTTCATGACTTGTCATTATATCTTGAGATTAGTAACCAAAGTTACCTTAAAATGTGTCATTCTCTATGTATTTTCTGACTTCTCAAAGAAACACATAAATCAATCAGAACTGAGACTGCTCCAGTGCAATTAATTTAACTTGCCTTCTTCACTCCAAATTGCCTAACAAAAACAGTAAAACCAGACTGCCTGGGCCAACTGTGGTTGGAATGGAAGCTGGGAGGACCCAGGACAGACCACCTCCATGGAGTGGGATAACCCAAGAACCCCCTAATACACATGCACAACACTGTAACTGCTTTCATGAATGAGGCAGGGCATCCTAATCTGGTAGCACAAGCAGAGTCACAGCTYCTATCCACCCCACCTGCTCCTCACCCAGGATCAAAACACCTTGCACCRACACAAGTGGCTGTGAAATTGTTTGGTGAACTCAACTCACTGCTCCTTGTCAAAAAAAGACATAAAAAACTAAAAGAATAATCAGTAATCAATAATAATCAGTGACCAAACTCCTAAGTTAAACTTAATTTTAGTAGTTCATGGCAATGGGTAATTTTACCTCTTTAACCCCCTGGACTGATTTATTCCACCACTATCAACACAAGAAAAGGAAAATGATCCTAAAGGGTATCAATCCCATCTTATGGAGTGAGCACAACCCAGGTGCTGCTATTATAGAACTGGGTCACATCTTGTGATAGGGTAGAAAGTCATTATGAATATGAAAATACCAATGTGCCCACACCAGCAGGGAAAACAGAAGTACAAAAATAATTAATAACATTCATTCTGCTGTATGAGCACATGAAGCCTGAAGAATACTGTATTTTAATTAAAACACTTGGGAAGAGAGACTAAGTCTGCTCTCCCATTATCTTGGTGCTTAGCCTCCAACACAGCACAGCCACCAAGGGTGATAGTCCAGGACTGTGCTCTGCTTGTTCAAASCAAAACTTATCATAAAATCCAAGCTACTTGTGAAAACCGTATGGCTGGACACACATTTCTCACWAAACTGCTGCCCAGCAATGTTTTTYCCTGTTTATGTACAGCAAAGAGTTATAAAACTGGGTGAGAGCCACTTGTGCAGGGATTTAGATAATGCAAACAGTATCTCTACTTATTCCTAAGATTTTACATCCCATATTACTTTGGAACAAGCAAGAAGGGAGCAGTAAAACAGTAAGGATTAAACTCCCTGCTATTCCCCAATTCCTGAAGACAATTACCATTTGGCTGACGTGAGCTGCATTTCAATGGGCTTGTCCCTTTGTAACATCTTCACAAAAATCTGTGGTAACAATTCTCCATCAACAGACACTGCAAGCAAAGATAGAGAGCTCCAAGTCATTCTCCTTCARCCAGGCCAAAAGTGAGTGTCAAACCAGCAGCAGCAGCATTGCACTCACCATTTACCAGAGTCATGGATACCTGGGGGTTTTCGAAGGCTAGAACGGAGAAGCATTTCAATGCCTGCATTCTGACCTGGGTGAAAACATAACAGAATGAGACAGAAACACCAATTTCAAAGGAAAATCAGCCTATTCTACTGGATGGGCTTGGAGAAAACAATTCTATATAACCAACAAGAAATGGAGATGAAGAATAAAAGGCAGATGGAAACATTTAACTCACACCCTGACTTTCATCATCTCCCTATTAGAATTACCCTTCTGAAGGGCAGGTTGTGAACTCTTTGTGAAGAAAACCAGCAAGGATAAAACTTGGGGACTAAACAGGACATATTGGTCTTATTTGTGATGTCTCAAATGTGTAAAAAACAACACCAGAATGGAAGAATATAACAATAGTATCTTTTCTTTTCAGGACTAGTAAGTACATTAGAGAAGCAGAAATATGTGTCCTTGAGATTTATATTTCAGAAGCTTAATAAAATTAATAAAAATGTTATCTTAATAAAATGTCTAAAGAGAACCATCCAGCTGAAGTGATTCCAAACTACTCTTAAAACAAATATCCACTGTAAATTTTACTGCTATTACACAGCCTCAGYTGCCACCTATACAAAAAGGACTGATAAATTTCTTCATCTTGGCTCCTCCTTTTTCAGCCCAAAGTCTTGGTTTAATCAATGTTTCATGGCTGCCTGGTTTCTGAAACCTTTAAYACTTTTTTTTGATACAGGGAAGATCAACCATGATCACGTTCCCAAATCAGAAAACCTAGATTAGTTCTGATATCAGTCTTCGACTTGCCCTTCTACAGCTGCACATATTTAAACTGTCCTTGTCTTTGCAAGTGGAAGGACTGAGAAGAAGAAGATGACCTTCCTGGCCACCAAGTCATAGGCCGAGTGTGATGTTTGTTCTTTGAGATGGTGCTTTCAGATAGCCCAGGATGGACTTCCAAAACATAGCAGAGAAGGGAGATGAGACTCACGAATTCAGGGAGCACAACACAGCAGCAGCTGGTGGCCTCCACACATCCCATGACCATGGTTTTTCACAGCTATCACTTCCTGTTTAGGACAGACCCCATTTACTTCTCTTCAGCTTAACTCCTTGTTCTCATTTATTGTCCAACAAATCAGMCCATTCAGGATGCCAAGTGCCTGTTCCCCTCTGGAGCAGTGCCAGCCAACTCTGTTTCCATTACTGCAAGTTTAACTTCACAGTACAAAGACACTGGTTGTGACGGAATGTGACAAGTAGAAGCAACTGTTATTCTACAAATATACAACTTATCTGTTTATAGCTTTAATTCATAGACACTGACGTGGTTCTTATAATCTCTATTTTAATTCCTTTCACAAATACACGTTAAACACAGAGCAGTTGTAATGTCTTACTTTGTAGGAGGTGGAGACCAACAGATGTGCAATATTCTGAACAGCTCCATGGTTAAATAAGATTGTCTGGTGATCTGGACCCTTCAAAGGAAACACAATACAGAGTTTTTAAAAGAACATGTAGAGGTTTCCACTATCTGCAATTCATTGTTAAATATCTTAAAATACATTTAATAACATTTACTTTGTAATCAGCTGGCATAACTATTTTTTTTAACATAAACAACTTCAACTCGTATTTTCATAGCATTTGTCCTTTCTGGTAATCATTCCCACTCTCTCCTTCAATAGGTAATGAAATTAGTTGTCACAAATGAAGAARCATGGATAGAGAACTTCTGTTTGTACTCTTCCTATTGGAAACAACTGAAAGCTCCTGATTTTCCCTACAAATCACATAAAAGATCCCCAGTCACTGAAGTCTTCTTCACTGTTAATATTAAGCATTTTCAACAATTCTAACTCACAAAAGAGAAGAAATGTCTTCTGAAACTGGTTCCAGACACAGTGACAGTGCTTTGAGAGGAGATTCATATTTTCCTCCAATTTCATATTATTTATTATTTTAGTTTCAAACGTATTTAGCCATAAATCCAGCCAGCCATCACCTATTTATTGACTTCAAGACCTATGTTGGCAGTGGCTGGTATGTCAGTATTCTTTCCAAAAGAGCATTTGGAWTTAAACACAAATACTGAATTTTGCAAGAGAAAGGTCTCAGAACTTTTTGCAGCATGACGTGGCTCAACGAAGTTGAAAAAACAATGTGAAATCTCAATACCTGCAGCCCTCAGCAGTCTCTTGSCAAAGCTGATCTCTGGTTTGCAAACCTCTCTTTAGAAGTAAGTTCATAGCCTTGCTCATCTCTGCATTAAGCACCCGACTATGCACATTTGAATTCAGATTATAGGATGGCACAGCATTTATCATCCCTCTGTGCATTTCCTTGACTAGTCTGCAAGTGAAAAAGTGTCCTCATTCCTTAATCTCTTGCTCAACCCCAGCTGAGTTTATGGCACCTCTTACACCCTGGTAGGCACCAATGGCACATTATCTTCAAATAYGAGATACAGCTGAAATCAGACTCCTTTTGTAGTCAAAAGAGCATTTTTAGAGTATCTCTTACCTCTAAGAAAAAAGCATAAAATTACTTTCAGATGCAACTGATGTCTGGTGCTTTAAGAGATGCTTCAGCTGCTACTGCCACCAAGAGCTTTSTAACAAAAAATGCAATTAAAACAGCATGGTTGAAGGAGGAAAACAACTTACATTGGCACACAGAAGTGGCTGAGGCAATGATTTAAAGCCGCAGCTATGCCAGTGTTGGAGCTGAAGAACAGATATTGAAATAYGTGAAAGAACAATGAGTGAGTTTAAAGTAAAAGAAATCATACTGCCCTAGATTTAGTAACTCCTGAATTATTCAATTAGTAATTTAGTGATTCCTCCATGGGATGCAGGTGGCAGATTCTGTGCAGAGAGGACAGCTGCCTGTACAGAGGAGACACCTGGGTGTATCTGAGTTGCACAACGGGAGGTACATGAAATATCTGATCTGTACATGTGGTGTTTGCACACACCAACCAGATCAACCAGGGTAAGCATTAACATGTAAAGAGGGACAGCTAAAAACACAAAGGTGAAAATTTGAGAATATGATGTAGCACTTGTAAGCAGCTCAAGGCCCAGAGTTTTACAGGCCACCTGGTTTTGTTCCTCCTCGGGTACAGTGACAGAATTCCACTCCTCTGCCAGTGACCTTGTTCTCCAAATATGAATGAATAACATATTTCAGGAACATCATTTCTTGCACAATTTTCCACCATAAAATGTCAATTTTCAAGGAACTGTTAGGATAGCCCAATGTAACAACTGATTCCACAATGCAAGGCAGGTACCTGAGTGCCTCTGTCCCTTGGGGCAGGGATCCAGAAGCAACCTAAGGTCACCTAAGAGAACAGTCCAGGGGGAGTTGCCTTGCTTACAGGTTTTGTCCTGGACCCTTCCCACACATGACATTCTCATTTTCAACTGGCAGTGTAATTATTATTTATGCAGATATGCCACCACTTACAAATACAAGTTCCAGAAGTATTTTTAAAAATTATTTACATAACCATATGTTTTCAAATGTAAACCTTACCTCTTTAATTTGACCGTTAAAACAGTAAATTTTACCTACTCATACCATTTGCTCTGAAAACAAATGAACTGACATAGACTCTTAAATTTTTGACATTTGCATTTTGACATCCCAGGTGCATCAGCCTGATTTCAGTTTATTTTTTTTGCTTCTATGCTGATGGAATCCTGGCCCTGTATGTTAAGAACTGCATGTGCTCCCCTGTAAATCACCCCTTTCCCTTGCTCAGGATGGCTCTTCCACAGGGGCAATGCTCCCCCAGCTGTTAATTTTAACTCTAAGTGTGCAGAGAGAAGCAGCAAAGGAGAGCAGCAAAAGCAGAAACCAGCAGCAATATGCCTGAAACCCAAATGATGGATTTCCTAACTCAAGGGAACTGGTCTGAGCTTTCCCAGTGAAATGGGAGCAGGCAAGGAAGAAGGCTAAGAAGCCAACGAGAATTGCTGAAAAGGCAGAGAAAGAAATGGCTGCACCAAATGTGAGCTGGGAACAGTGCAGGAACAAGGAGGGCCGCAGMTATAAGCCATTGTCAGTTCAATTATTACATCCACTTAGCAGAGGAAAAGGAGAAATAGAAGCATCAATGCCTCTTAGAACATATMGTAAGCCTTGCCTAAATGCAAAGGCTTATTTATAGTAACTCATTGCTCCAGGGAAAAAAGTAAGAAAGGTTGTCTCGCTCAGAGCCTTTTGGGGGAAGATGGAGTCTTCATTTAAAATGAAGTGAATGCTGAAACTTTCAGTATTTATTTTTTTTTAATTCTAAGAACATACTTTGTCCGTTGATTTAAGTCAGAAAATCCCCTGCAAATTAATCTTCACTGTATTAGATATGCTTTGTTCTGTCTGAAAACACAATAATTGACCTTATAAACCTGAAACCCCAAAACTAAACCAAAAAGAAGGAAGGAGCATTAGACTTTTGTTGAACACCTGCATTTGTCTGGGCAAGAGAAATGAGTTCTTGATCAATTTAACATTTGTGATGATCTGTTTACTCAACCTCAAATATTTTTCTTTGTTATACAGCTGTTTATTCTGCAAATGCAACCATTTTGTAACACTCATGCCCATCATCCTGCCTTTCYTGTGCAGCCATGTTTCTCTCTGTTCACACAGCAAACAATATCTTTCCAGAACCTTGATTTTTTTCCATACATTCACTGTAAAATTTGAGAGATTTGGGGGCTGAAGAAGGCACTTAAAACACAATGGTGAGTTCAGAAGACCCTCCTCACTTGTGAAGTGTCTGGGCTTTTGCTGTTACCAACATTTCAGATGTGCAAGTCCCCCAGAGCTGCTGCAGCTGCAAGGAAATAACCCCTTTGGAGAAAGATGGCAATAATTGTGTTCTGTTCTCTCCCAGCCAACAGGGTTTATATGGCCAGAGCCAACCCCTGATTGTATAAATTGACTCCTCTACCACCCTATAATTAATCCTGGGTTATTTTTCCTGTAAGCCAACATGGCCTGATTTTTCACCTGTTTGAGCACCTCAGCCTATTAAGGAGTCTTCCAGGGGCCACCTAAACTGGAGATACCTCACTGCTGTCTTTTTGTTCCTAAAATACTCTTTTTTCCACTATTAGCTATAGATGTAAAATTCCACAGACCCCTGTAAGCTTTTTATCTTCATGTTGTCTTTAAACAGTTCTCTAAATATTAGCAGCAGAGTTCTATCTTCATATCCCACTAACTGGACAGCTTTCACCCTCAGTTTCACTTAGCAGAAGCAATGTCACAGGATGAACACACACAAATAACACTTGAGGCAGAGAAACATAGATACTAAACAAAGGAATAATTCACAGTTCCAGAGGACTCATTGTAAGTGATAAGGTTGAAAGATACCTTTCAAGGTAAATACTTACAAATGTATAAACTTGGGAACTTTCTCATTTGTTAGTACATAATCTAGGATCCTTTAGTTTTAAATTGTTGCTAAAAGGGAAAGATGCTGTAAAAATCTCATCTCCTACCCTCAATTATTTTGACACCATTATTGTACAACTCACTGGTACAGTAACTCCCAAAAACACTGCAACAATAAAAACCAGTGCTGTGTGGAAACTTGGAGCAGGGGGAGGCAAAGACAAAACGGTGTTTGGGGTGGAGCTGCTGCTGGTTTTAAATCAGTCTTCTCATATCAACAGAATTGCATTACACAGCAGGAATGAACATGTATCTGGATGAACCTGTAACTGATAGAGCTCAGCAAGAAGAGCATTTCTTTTCCTCTCAACTTACAGCATCTCTTAGAGAAATGTCTGATTTTAAAACAGCTGAAAGCAGCTGCATGACCTCTGCAAAGAGGGGCTCACACTGTCCTCAGACTTTCAGAGGAAAAACAGAAGTCTTCCAAGATTTATAGTATTAACAGTGAAGACTGATATTTGCCCAGACTCTCAGCTTTGTTTAGTAGCCAAAGCCTATTAAAAAACCCATATATTTGCATATTTGCTTGTACTGCAGAGCAGCATATATCGACCCAAATAAATCTGCAGCAAATGCAGAGCAGTACCACTTCACTCATTACTGGCCCAAAATTCCTGCCACAAAAGGCAGCACATGCACTACTCTTACAGGCCAGAAACACAAGTTGCATAAAGAACATGAATTGTCTTTCTTACTTTGCAACAGTGGGAGAAGATCTGACAGATGTATTCTTGTGYGTATCGAGACCTACTGAGCAGTGCCATGAGGTGGGGGATAACTGTRGCATCCTGCAAAGAGAAAAGAACAGAGGGTTAACAGTGCATTTCAGCACAGCTTCTGTGCAGTTTGTCACCTAAACCAGCACTCCTGATTCTGCACTCAGTGTTCTCCCCTCCACCAAAACTTTCATGGATACAGAGCAAGACTATTAAAAGCTGTTCATTAAAAGCTGAAGGCACGAGTGACTGTTCTGAGCCAAATCCCCATGGAAAAAAAATAAAAGGTCAATSCTACTGGAATAAAACTTCTGCAATTTGCCTCCAGAATCTTTGTGAACAATAAAAGAATGGGGSAGAAAACATACCAACAGCAAACAAGGGCAGGGATTACTACAGGAGTTGCCTTAGTGCTGTCTTACCACAGCGTCGCTGACTTAGCTCTTCTCCCAGCCCTGACTCAAARGGAGCAGGGAGGAAACACGTGCCAGCCTGGACAGGGCACAGGCCCCTGAACTGATTCCTAAGGGGTCATAATGGCCCTTGCCTTGTAGTCAAACACACACAACAGACACTATCAGTGGGTGTGACATTAGTGACAGAGAATTCCAAATAAATCAGCAAAACAAAACCATTAGATTCAAGTGGAAGGTTCCCTAAGCCAAGGCAGGGGGCTGGAATGAGATGACCTTTAAAGTCCCTTGCCACTCAAACCTTTCCATGATTCTGTGACAAGTTCTCTTCTGAAAACTCATCCAGTTACTTAAGACCTGTGATAAGTTACAAAATGATACCATTTTAAAGCTTTTGGTTACTTTTACCAGCAAGTTTTAGTGCAGAACTACACAATGGTTATTTTAATTTGGAAAGTGGCAAATTGAGTAACTTCCATGAGATAAAGGAAGCAGAGTAGAGGGCAGGATTGAATGAGCCTTGCTTTCAAATCACATGGGCTATATTGGCCCTACACACCTAAGTTAGACTGTTTTACCTGCACAATGATGAATTACAAGCCTCTGATTTAGGGAGAGGTGGATTGAAATGAGAGCAAAACCTTCCTGCAGCTCAGCTGCTGTGACAGCACTGAGAGCAGCACCAGACTGTTTCAGCGACTGCAGCTTCAGACACACTGGTTATGAGAAGTTTTATTTCCCAATTACCTGGGAAATTTCCACCACACCTTTTAACATCGTCAAAACATGTACCAGTCTCGCCATTTGCACAGATATTTGAGATTACACAAAGCTTTGCAGCATGTGTTTTTCTAATAGTTTTTATTTATGTATATATACAGTTATTATACTTATTTTAGGAAGCTTTGCTGCTGACAATCCAGCCCTCTTATTCTTCACAGAAAATAGGACAACAGAGCCAACACATTGAGAATAAACCCAAATTGTTTCTACTGATTGTTTCTCACCAACTGGAAAGGATCAACATGAGCCTTGTTTGGCATCTCAGCATCCTACAGCGAGAAAGTTATTAAAAAAGACTGTGTCCCAGGTACAGCCAGCCATATATCAATGCTCATGTCTTGCTTATGTGCACAGGAAGAGCAAGGCACTACCTATTTTAAGCAACATTCTCAGRCTTTGGCCAACAGCAGCTCCATCTGATCTGCCTTTACACACAGCCCAGAGACAAACACATTATTTCTTTCCAAATTCAGAACCCAAAGGCCAGCAAAGGACTGGTTTGCTTGCAGGGCAATAGTGGCCATTAAACCCCAGAAGGGGTCAGGCTGGAAGGGCCCACAGTGGTTACCTGGTGCCACCTCCCTCCTCTGCCATCAAAAACAGCCAGGAGGAAAGAAGGAGTAAGGCAAGGCATGAGAGGCTGACCCAGATTCCTCCCTCAGGAAGAGTGGATCACTGAGCTGTGGTAAAGCACGTGTACACTTGGCAGTGGGGTTTCACTGCTCATTAAAGACCTGGCCATTAATCAGAGTAACATATCCTGATCCTCTCAGTTGTGCCTCCTCACCTTCACCAAGCCTGGCTGATCACCAGGTGATGTTGAGATTTTCCATCCCAATCCTGCCCAGCAAGCAGGAATGCCTTTTCCTCATAATTTCTGCAGAGTGAGATTTCCCAAACTCATTCCTCWTTGTCTCAGCAYAGAGACTCATCCTGCTGCAGTGCCCTCACTCCAAGATCCCTTAAGGAGATTCCCAGCAGGGAATGCATCCCCTCTGGCAAGGCCAGCACAGCAGCCACACAGAGCAAGTTCTCACTGCACATTTTCTCAGCACAAATCCCAAGCKCCTATAAGAAACTGTCCAAATGTTTCCACCTGTGAAGAACTGTTTTACCCCTGGAACTGAACAGAATTAACTACACAAAGCTGTTCATCCTTCAAGTCCTGTTCATCAGGAAAGGCTCAAGGAGGAAAGGTGTAATACTGACACCCAGCACATCTGCTGTGAGAAAAATTCGGGTTACTGTGGGTTGTGTGTACCTGCTACAAACAGAAAGGAATGTTTTAAGCAGCTCTCTTTTAAAGCACTTTCTATATCCTGGATTTTAACTGAGAGGTCCCTGAAACCTCTGGAATGACTACAACACCCTTGGAGATATTAAGCTAACTCCTAACACCTTTGTCTTGCAAACAGACCTGCCCCAGGTCTGAGAGAGAGAGAGCATCCTGTCTCTGCAGTCAAACCACAAAAAAATGCTGGGAATGTTTCCATGTTAGACATAACTCAAGACCCAATTTTTCAGGAGTTTTCTCCAGAACTGCTGAACAAGAATGAAAAGCCATTGACAAACTTGGTCTCCTACCTTTCAAAATAGGACCTGAAAAAGGCAGAACTTGAGAAACCTTCAAGTGCTGCAGCTGCATGGAAATGGTGACAGTCTCCCTGGAGCTGCTGGGACCAGAAACAAAGAGGGAGCAGGGTGGCAAAATGGGAACCTTGAATTCTTCCTGTTGTTCTCAGTGTTGGAATGTCTGCCATGAAGTGKTCATTAGGCCCATAATTAGTTCTTTAATTGCAAAAGCAATGTCTCAACTGCTGCCTTGTGAAACAGCTCACAGCAGTGTGGGCTGGGGCTGTACCTTCCAAGAGATAGGAAAAATGTCTTTTCAAAGGATCTGTATTCATTACTTTTTAAAACATGGCTTTGGGTATTCCCATCAAAGAAGTAAAAGAAAAAAATCCGAGATTTGCAGAAATAGGACCTTAAGCACGATTATAAAAACAAAAAATACTTAAGTAAGGTGTCTAACTGGAATGGGAAATGGGAACATGGGTTTTCCAAGTGAACTAAGGAGAAAGGACCCCTCACCAGATGATCATTTCCTGGAGTTATGGTTGCTTCCAGTATATCTCATTTGCCTGACTGGGGGAGCAGTTGATGTCACTGCTGTGCAGCAGAGAAAGCAAAGCATGAAACACAAAATCCAGTCTCTTGGGCATGTTGGTCCCATGTTAGTGGTTATTTCTATGCTAATGGTGGCTTGTTCCCATTTCTGTCCATACTGTACTCCTKCCTTCCCTTTCAAGATATCAAATCTCTCCTCCAAATACGGAGCAATTCAAAGTCCCTATTGAGCACTGATCTGCAGGAAGAGATACAGATTGCTAATGGAGACAGTCATCTCAAACCCTGGCTCTGGATGCTGAGAGCTGGAAGCAGATATCTCTGCAATTACCAGCTCTTACAGGCTGATCTGGGGGAATCTAGGAACAGAGAGGGAAGCCAAAGAAAGGAGCAGAGACACAAAGAGGAAGCCCTGGGATCACTCAGGAGAGGTGCCTTCGGTGCTCACACATGTAATATGCACTGAGGTTTTCCTTGCTGAACAATCACAAAACACYTAGAAAAAGGCAGTGAGCAGTGGAGGACAAACCTGGCTGGTTATTTACACACACTAAATGCAAGCTGACTTCCTGGGATGGACTAACTAGAAGTTGAAATTCAGAATAAGCGTGTGGCAAGATCGAGTCCATAGAAAACTACAAGGTTACATCCCTTTATCTGGAATGAAAACATTGGAAGCCATTGGAATAGAGAACAAAACAGATATTGCAGCACTGCATAACAACTAGACAAAAACTTATGAAGAAAATCTGTTGAGGACTGTTAATAACCAAACTGTAGAGAACATGCGACATGAGAGGCCACCTGTGCCCTTCTCTGTAAGCATCAGGACTTCCTCAGCAAGCAACAGCTCCCTAAGTGGGACCAGAGTGGCTCTCACTGTGGGCTCCCAGTTACCCTCAGAAGCTGGAGCTGCTCTGAGACCTCCCCCAGACTGGGGCAATGCTCTCCTTTTCCAAGCAGAAGGAGATGGCTGCTCCACTACAGCTTTCATCCCACGGCTCACCTCATCCCTTACTCCAGAACAAAGGAAGCAGATAAACCCTCTTTGACCCTCYTTTCCAGCAAGAGGCAGAGCCTGGGTTTAGACAAGCCCAGGAGACAGGTGGACCTTCAGAGAGAGCTCTGCCCAGCCACCAGGGCCAGCACCAAGAGCCCTCTTGTCACATGCTCCAGGATGAATTCAGGAGAGGCAACAGGAGAGGCACATTTCCTGTAGTCCTGTCACTTAAATGCAAATCACACATGTATTAGCTAAAGAGCAGAGACATTTTAGAGGTGAAGCTCTTCCACTGGAAGTACAAAAACTGAGCAAGACCTCTCCCATCTGGAGAGGGAGGGCAGTATTGGAAAAAACTCTAGGTTTCAGAAAGTAACTGTTGCCAGTATAGCCCTGATAATAGTACCTCTAAATACCATTTAGAGACCRTTTTTCCTGCTTAAGATTGCACCCAAGTCTGAAAATTTAGGTATTTTCTTTATCAGTGGGCTGCCTTGGTGACCTGCTCATACCAAACATGCCATAAACATTAGGGGTGCCAGACGCTTTAAAGGTAGGTGAGAATTGCTAACACTGATGCTCAAACAAGGCCTTCTCACTACTCCAGACAGCAAGATTTTTCACTCCCACCCTCTCTATAGGCTTTAAAAACACATAATAATCTGCTTACAACTTACTGTGTACAGCAGATCCTCTGGAGTGACAGGGCTGATGAAAATGGTACGGAGACATCGCAGGCAAGCTTCAATAAACTTCAAATCTGGCGATAGCAATCCTATAAATACAGGCAAAACTGTCCATTTAGTCTCATTACCTTTGTTTACTTTGGTACTTTGGGAACATTTACCAACACAGATCCATGAAGGGAGGAGTACCTTGCAGTAAGGCTGGGATAATATGGCAGTCTAGGAGGGATTTGACATTGTTCTCTGTCCCCATGGCAAGGCTGCCCAGGACCACCGCGCATTCCGTTCTCAGCTCTGTGCTCGAGGTCTCTTGCTGAAGTAAATACAGCAACCTGCAAACGTAAGTATTTTTAGAGGGAAATTCAGATGGAAAAGAAAATTTAAGTCTAAAGAAAATAATCTGAATCCTGCTATGTAAAGAGGATGAAATCCTTACTARAATGATGAAGACTGAGCAAAAGAGTAGAGGAACACTTCATTCCTTTTCCTACTGTGTGTTCCTACACAGCTTTTACTCAGTGTAGAAAAATGCCCCACTGCTTTTCCTTCAAAAGGTACTGTCTTGGTCCTGATATCCAGGATGAGGGCTTTCAGGATACYGGGAATTGCCAAATTTCAGTTCAAGGAAATGAGTCTGCAGTTTGAGGTCGAGAGCAAAGGGAACCCTAACACCTGATTACCACGGTGGGGATGGTCATCTTTGGCAGTGATCTCTTCTGGGTCACAACTGCAAAATAAGTCCACCACCAAGCACAAGCCCGGGGAGTGCTGAGAGCAATCGGAATGTTGAACACTGAGAAATGATCACATACTAACACAAAGAAAGCCCAGGAAAGTTTTACATGCARGAAGGCAGCTGAATTGGGGCTAAAGAGGATCACTTCAAGCCTAAAGCATATCTTGCCAATGGTATCGTTTCAGTCCCAATCACTTTGGATTCATTCTACACTATCAAGAAGCAAAATACACAATCAGCKGCATGCAAAATCATCACTAAGGAAAAACAGCACTCCTTCAATCCTGTGGGACTGGATAACTTTGCCCTATTATTACTTCTTTATGGGCAGATGATTGTTTTCTTTGCCTTTTAGGTAAGGACAGGAAGCAAAACCTTCTTTGATAATGCACAAATGCACAGAGAGATCCTGGCTAAAATTCATCCTGGAAAAGAAAAGGATGTTGAGTACCTATATGGAAAGCACAATCTCATCTAGTGCTCTAACTCTGGTTTGACTCCTCTGCTATATGTGCTGCTAAATATTGATCTAATTACTAATTTTAAAATCATAATTTTAGTAATTTTAGTCAGTAAGCAACGATGTTTCTTTAAATAGCTTTCAGTAACCTAGAGGTCAGTCTAGAAATTCAGAAATGTGAGACTATTTCCTTCCATTTTCCCTAGGAAGTCCTGAAAACCTGCTCTGAGTCTTCCCCRTACAAATCAGATCAATGGCCTTCTCTGATTATCAAGGCCTTCGACAAATAACCTGCTCCTTGTATCCAGAAGTGTTCAGTCACAGAATCACAGAATCAATAAAGTTGGAAAAGTCCTCTCAGATCATCAAGTCCAAYCATTCCCCAGCACTGCCAGGGCCACCACTGCYCCATGTCCCCAAATGCCACATMCAYACAGCTTTGAAATCCCTCCAGGRAAGGRGACTYCACCACTGTGTGTGCAGCTCTGCCAGGGTTGGACAGACCTTTCCAGGAGAAATTTTCCCAATATCCAACTTCTGCAGCACAACTTGAGGCCGTTCCCTCTCCTCCTGTCCCTGTTCCCTGGAGCAGAGCCCGACCCCTCCGGCTGTCCCCTCCTGTGAGGGAGTTGTGCAGAGCCACAAGGTCCCCCCTGATCCCCCTTTKCTCCAGGCTGAGCCCCTTTCCCAGCTCCCTCAGYCACTCCTGGGGCTCCAAACCCTTCCCCAGCTCCGTTCCCTTCCCTGGACACACTCCAGCCCCTCAGTAACATGTCCTAAAAAGACTTTTTTCACCAAAAGGATTTTTTAAAAATTCAAAAGCACATTAAATTCTGAAGGATGCTCTTTTCCAAGGAAAGTAATTGCAATTTTCTTTCCCATTAACACTCCACACGTGGAACAGATGTTACAGTTCAGCTACTGTTAAAGAGCAAAAATTAAACACACTGACTACAATCTAAAGCCTTTCCAYATGCTTAAAATAGAAAGCCTTAACTAAACTTTATAATTAGTGAACATCAAAATTTAACTTCCCATTTTACATATAATAAGTTTCTGAAATACTAATAATATCCTTTTTGACATCTTTAAACTAAGTTTGAGGTTCAGATCAGGTRTTCCACACATGCATATTGTAATATTTTCTATTTCTGTCTTTAAAAGAACTGACACCAAGTAACATTGAAAATCAAGTAGTTCCATGACCAACTGTAAGATTACAAAAAGTTTCAAGTAAGGAGAATCCATATAGTCACTAAGGATGAAACTGTTAATTAATAAAGTACTGTCAAACATTAAACACAACAATCCACATCTTTCTATTGTCCCAGGGAACATCCTGGACTGGTTTGTTGTTCCCAGGCTCTAGCCCAGATAAATTCAGCAAAGATGTAATTCATTCCTCCCTTATATTAATATCATCTGGATAAAAAGGTAGAAAAACTGTATTTACATGCAGGGGACAGAAGAGAAGACTGTAATTTGGATTTTGGAAGCTTAAAAATATGATTAAGGTACTTTTGCACAGCTCAAATGTTCTAAGAACGGGGTGTCCCTGCGTAACCTGGATCACTGATCTCCAGCCTTATTCCTTATCAGCCAGCCTTTGGACTTCCAAACCTGMAGCAATACTGTAACAAGGCTCTGCTAGAACCACCACAACACATTTTCATAGAGCCCAAGAACTTCAGGGGAAAACAAAAGCAGAGATACGCAGAACAGACATTCTAAAACAGCAAAAAGGTGCTAATGTTCTTGTGGACACTCTTCAGCCTGTGGTCCTGCTGTAAAGCTCTGTACAACAAATAGGAAATAAAGCTGATGGAAAGATCTCACAACATCTTCATRAGCATCTTCCAAGATTTTAAAATACAATATCTGGACTTTTTTCAAACTTCTATAAGGCTTCTTCAGGTATTTTCCTCTTATGTTTATATAAAATACAACTTCTGCCATTTGTCCCTGCCTAAGGGCAATTAAGTGATTAAGGACTTTTTTTCAGAGGTCAGGAATGATCCATGAAATGGTATACAAATGAGGAAGAACTGCAAATCCATCCAGAGAGACACTTCAGTGGATTCCATGAGCAACCATGCCAAGAAACAGAAACAAGGTCAGCTGAGGAATGATGTATACCTGAGAAAACCATGGATTATTTCAAAGCAGAAAACTTCCAAGGGAAGCAGTTGCCGAACACAAGGAAACCTCAGTGGCTTAGCAAGGAAAAGACCCAGCTCAGATTATCCTTTTCCTTTGACAATGACTGGCTGGTGTGACGCAGCAGAGTTCCACCCGTAACAGATGTGCATGATTGAGACCTCCCCAATCCAGTCTGAACACCAACCTAACTGTTGAAAAGAACAGAGATTCCCTCTTTCACACTCCATCCCATTTACAAGTGGTCACAAAAATCTCTCAGGTTCCTAAACCATCCAGGGAAGAGATGAAACTCAGCACCTCCTCAAGRCCCATAAGAAGACCCTTGGAGAAAGAGCCCATACCCTGAATTTGAGTGCTGTGAAACCTTTCATCAAAGTAAGTTAATGAATAAGAGCTTTGAGTCAATGAATAAGAGCTTTGAATCATGGTTATCTGAACATGTATTACCAATCCCCTTACAAAGGGGATGAATACACTGTTTGTGGAATTACCACGATTTCTACGATAACTGCATCTACCTTGGAAAATGCTTTGTCTTYCAGTCCATTGCAAGAAGGCCCAAAAGCTCTCCCTGGGAACCCCTGTGATGAACACAGAGATGAAGGCACTGCTCAGGTGAGTTATCCCCTACTGGCTGACAGAACATGGAATAAAGTCACTGCACGCATAGAGGATGACCTCTGACTCTCACTGGGACTTGCAGCATGTTCAATCCCAAACTGTGAATGGAACTAATTATTGAGAAGAGCCCAAACAAGGTAGGACAATAAACTTCTTTTTTTTTAATCAGTTCTTTTTGGTGCTGAAAAGCCATAAAAAGCACTACTTTTCAGACACAACAGGAAGCAATTACTTTCCAAGAAACTTTGCAAAGACAGAACTAAGCATAATTTTAAAAGTACTCAGAATAATTGTTGTACAATAAATAGCTGTAGATTCTTACATATGAAGACTCAAAAATGAGTGATTCTTATGACTGTTAGTTACAGAAATCTATCCTGAAGTGAGATGCCAGTTTCCCTCCTGGAAGCAATGGTAATTCCAAATCTCCAGAGGCTGGATCTAAGGGACCTGGGCTAACTTTACTCCTTAAAAAGCCCTACAAAGCAACAATAACTGCTTCTGAAATATTTCACCCAGTCAAATAATCAGTTTTCAAAGGAGCCAAGTTGAACAGTATGCAGTGTGTAAGCAGAGAAGCTGGCTGCAAAGAAAGTTTTCCCTTATGAATAAAACAAGGAGTCTCAGCTTACAGCYTTAGCAATTTATCCTAATGCTTAGCCATCCTCACCAACATTAATATTCCATGAGCTGTTCTATGTACACCACATAACCTGCATCCAGTCTGCTTCTTGTTCACATAACTAAATCCAACTTTGGAGAGTTTCAATATCTACTGAGCTGCAAGAGGTCCATATTTGAAACTTCACATTTTTCATTACTACAATCAAGTTTTTCCTCACCTTCATCTTTAATGATGTTTCACTTGCAAACAGCCCTGGCTCCTCCGCAGAGGCTCCCTTTCACAGCAGCAATGTCTTCCCAGCACTCCATGGATTCCTATCCTGGTTCCCACCCTGGTGTTCCCAGCTCCCTCGAGGTGTTCACACACCCCCTTCYACAGTGACTTGAAGGCTGCTGAGGTGGTTGCAGCATGGCCTCTACTCTTGGTTACTAGATCAAAACTCTCCACCCCAGGGCATCAGCACTGTCAGATCTCCAGTCTAAGCTGAATTCATTCCAATGTTTCCCCCCACGACCCACTCAGCAAAATAGAAATGTCCTTCCTTTGCAACCAGCCATTTATACCAGAACATGTGGGACCAACACACAGCCCCTCAAGCCAAACAGAGATAAATATACACAAACTGCACTCAGAGCTTTTTAACTTACACAGTGAATTACACTGGCTCAGTTTAAGACTAGTTTTGAGACAACAAAAGCCTTTTTTTTCACAGTAAGTGTGTTAATAGGCA